TCTATATATATATATATATATATATATATATATATTATTTTTTTTATTGCATCATTTATGATTAACTTGTCTTAGATTTTCTGTCTCTAGAATCAATAGAGCCTAGTTCTAAGTAATAAAATTAATTCCTTTCTTTATGTATTGACCAAGAAGCTGCACAATTTCATGAGAAAATATAATATTTAATAACCGAGCCTAACTCATTAGTTGATTTTAAACCCATTTTTAATTTTTAATTATATTTGTACACCTATTCTTTCAAGCAGATTCACTTATTAATTTTTTAGCCTCTGTTGTATACAAAAAGATAGCTACTACAAAGTTCGTGAAGGATATTTTGAAAGTTGAAAGCAGTTATTATTGCAGCTAAAACTTTGACCTATATTCAGAGATGAGGTGTTAAGTGCTGCTGATATGAAGTTTTGAGGGCATCAATCTTTCTCCATCTGAGGACTGATCTGGTAAAAGCAAAACCCTAGTCTTTCAATTGCAGTCTTTGAGCCAGAAACCTATATATTTGAGTTTAATTATGGGAGCTAATGAGCTATATAGCTAGGGTTTCCATAGTCTTTGACTGCAACTTTTGCTGGCCTTTTCATCTATTTAAAATGGTGTGTTAATTGTATGTTGTGGATGTTACTAGCTTTCTAACTTGATTAATTCAGGTCACAGGTCTCGTCGCTTTCTTCTCCATCGCTATAATTAACATCTTTCATAATCCCCATCATTAAATTCCCATTAAAACCAAAGTTAATGTAAAAGAACAAACAGTTAACCCAACCCTGACCCCTCTTTCTTTTCACTCAACTTTTTCTGTTGCTTTTTTTATTTCTTCTAATTTTTTAATCAAGATCATCTCTTGCCTTAATTTCGTATCATGGGAATGTATGGGAAAACTAAAGATAAATATTATTTTCTTAGGATAATCTCTATACATATAGTTTGTACAAATTAGCCTTTAATATTAATTATTAGCTAGAAAATACCTTAGATATATACATATATAAAAGTTGTGATCACCTCATGCCATATTAAATAATTTGATTTATTGCAGAAGACTTTATATGCTCTATCCGTTAAAATTAGGCAGTCTCCCAATTCTTTAATTCCCTTTTCTTAAACCCTTTACTTATCTATTTCCTATACATTCAATGATATTATCTGGTTAGCCATTATGTGTGGTTGGGATGCAAATTCAGGACTTCTTTTAAAGATTTATAAGTTTGAATCTACTTTAGGGTACATGAGGTGTCCCGTTGTACGGGGACAAAGAAACAAAGTTTCTAGCAATAGATCTCCAAGCTTATTGTTATTATAGCATATCTACTATAGAATATAAATAGATTTACATATATCTTCAGTGCACTAGTTGGTAATGTGGTTAAACAGGAAACTCCACCTACAGGTACGATTCACTGATTCAGTCTTCGAGATTTTTTCTTTTTAAATGACGTTTCCAGTTGTTAATTTCGTGACCACTTTGTTCGCAAATTTACGCCATTCTAGAAATGCTACTGTACCTTGAACTAAAGCTTAATGACAGTGATGAATATAAAATGAAAGGACATGGTTGTATAATTATGTGTGAATCCTCTTGTTTTTGGAAAAAGGGTAGCGGCAATGAATTGAACGATATTCGTATCTTGCAAGTGTAAGAGGATGTGTAATAAGGATTTTTTATAAGTAATTTTTTGTGTCACATCATTGTCATAATTTTAGTTTATTTTATGAGATATTTAAATTTTAACAGAATTATTATAAATAATTATGCTAAAATTTAAACAATTTATAAAATAGATAAAAATTGATATGTCTGTCATATGACAGAGGGATTTATTCTACCAACAGCCAGCAGGAATATAATTTATATAATTAAA